AAATTAGCCAGTAGTACAGGCAGGTATCTGGGGAATCTTGCATGTCTGTTCTTTTTTTCTTTTTCTTTTTCTTTTTCTTTTTCTTTTTCTTTTTTTTTTTCTTTTTCTTTTTTCTTTTTCTTTTTCTTTTTCTTTTTCTTTTTCTTTTTCTTTTTCTTTTTCTTTTTCTTTTTCTTTTTCTTTTTCTTTTTCTTTTTCTTTTTCTTTTTCTTTTTCTTTTTCTTTTTCTTTTTCTTTTTCTTTTTCTTTTTCTTTTTCTTTTTCTTTTTCTTTTTCTTTTTCTTTTTCTTTTTTTTATCAGTTTTTGAGATATTTATTCCTTCTTGTGTAAACGTTATGGATGACTGTTCAAGAGATCAGTGACATTATCACTTACCTGTAATTTCAGACTGTTACACTTGACAGGCACTTCTTATTGTAATGTCTACCAAACACAATTTTTTTCTGTTTCTCCATGTTGGATACCTGCTTCTGGATGAACTACATTTAAAAGTGATCTACGTATATTTTCTAGGAAGAAAGAGTATCATCTTGCTCACAATGCAGACTCTAATCTTGTCTCTGAATAGATGTATCTGTTTTGGTTGTTGTTTGAGCAATGGCTTGAAATTGGGCAGCATTTAGACTCAGGTGAGCTGTGGCAGAAGACACAACACCAGGGAAAGCTGAAATGCAGGCAGGAGGGAGGAGGCAGTGCAGATTTCAAGCCTCAGTAGAGCCCCTTTGCATCTGGTCAGTAACAAAGATGTGCAGAGCCTTCGTTCTTGCTGACCCCTCTGCTGCTCCAGTTCAGCACAGACTTGCTCCATCCCGGGGCACCTGGCTTTAGGGAGCCTCGGCTGGAGGAGCTGGCCTGCAGGCTGGTGCAGAGCGGCAGGACGTCGCTGAAGGCAGGGAAACCTCTGCCTGGAGCCTGCCAGCACATCAGCTGCGCTGCCCTGCAGGGAGAGCACCAGACCTTGCGTGGTGGGCAGTGATGGGACTGAGCCTGAAGAAACGGGGGACTGACAGGGCGAGGGGGCTAATGCTGCAGCTGGCAACCTGGTAGGAAAGAAAGAGTGACTGAGAGCGGGGAGTAAAGCTGGAGCTGGGAGATGGTGAAGGAAGAGACGTGTGGACTGGGAGGATGCTTCGATGAGTCTTTGGGAAGTGGTGGGGTGTGAGCTGTGAGCGTGAGCCCTCTTGGGAGGAGCAGAGGCGGTCAGAGGGTGCCATGAAGGGGAGCTGCAGGCAGTCCCGTGACAATGTCCCTGTGACGAGATGGCAGTGGGGGCCTGCAGCTGTCTGAGGGGGGGTGAATGGGACAGGGAGGTGGGGATGGGCATGGGCTGAGAGTCGGGACCAGAACAGAGCGCTGGAAGGAACTGGGAAGCACTGGCTGGAGACTGCTCTTGCTAGAGCAGCGGTTCACAGCTTTTTCCAAAGGAGCGCTGAAAAAGGCAGCAGTGCTCGTGTGGCAGGACACACGCGTGTTGTAATGTTTTTGTAGGATGTAATGTTTTGGGTGTGGACAAGTTCTGCTCTCTGTGTGTCTCTTCCAAATTGAACTTAGTGTTCCCATCAAACCTTCGTGTGTATCTTCCGTGACTTCTGCATGCTTGGTATTTCTGAATGAGGAGTGCTGGTAGAGCTGCCTCGGGCTCCAGGACTTCGTGGTCTCCAGAGAGCAAAAAAATGCTCTGGAAGTATCGAGTTCCCTGTGCTCCTTTCCCTGCTCCTCCCAGCTGGTCATCTGCTTTCACTTTCAGAAGCAATGACATTGTGGTTGGGCTGTAATGACAATATTTACCAAAAAGCTTTTTCTTTTTGTTCTACTTAGTATAATGGCTTCTTGCAGAAGCAGCTCTGTGGGGAATAGCCCTTATTTCCATAGGTTCGTGAACTTTCAGTTGTGGGCAGTAAATCGGACAAGTCAGTTTCAAGCAAAATATTCAGAAGAAATAGGAAAAATGGGCCTAGACTCTTCCTTTCGGGCAGTCTCTGAATACAGCAGGAGGAAATACTGATCTTGTGGTGGCACTCATTGCTTCCCCTGCAAGCTAAGCTGATCGTCAGACTGGTCTGCACGTGTGACTTCCAGCCACCCCTGGTTGCAGACAGGCTCAAGAGAGAAGAAATAAAGACCTTTTATTCAGGAAATAAGAGACAATCTTAGCTTGGTCAAAGTGGGGCTGCAGAGCCTCTTAGACACTCTTTTCTCATCCTGTGTTCATGGTGCTCAGAGGAATGCCCTTGGAGCTGTTCAGGAACCGCAGTGACAGTTTTGATTAGCTCTCCTTTCAAGCAATCCACAAAATGTCAGGATATAGATAAAGCAGTTATCTGCTGTGGATGACATTGGAAAGACCATTTCCTATTTTATTTTTAGCCCATGAGAAGGTGGGGGAAAAGAGCATAATGGCATATCTGAATCACTGAAGACACTTGCAACAGTCATTTATTTTCATTTCCTCAAGTAATCCTTTTATTTTGCAGCATTGATGACGATGTCTGTTTCTCTTCTGCCAGGTCTCTTATTTCTTTGGACCTGATGAGTCTTGCTCCTGGCATCTCTTCCAGGACTATGTCTTTACCGAAGATTCACCTGCTCCTGTTGCTGGGTGATTGTGCTCACTCCCCTGCACGGAGAGAACACTGAAACAGACACGCAGTGATACGGTTCCTGGCATACCCTGCATCCAGGATAAACATGAACATATGGTGCCAAGGAAGTTTGTTGCGGGCCCGAGATGAAGATAAACACTACAAGCTGTTATTTCAGAAGGGTAGCATAGGATGAAGATTGTTGTAAAGAAAACAAATAGTGTTACAGAAACAAAAATGGGATTCATACTGACATCTGTCAGGGCTTCTTGGCTCACCCGAAGAGGCTGCTTGAGCTGCGAGTCCCCGTTAGTCCCGCTGCAGCTGTAGGTCACCTCGCATTTGTCCTCACACATGAATGTGGGACACTTATCCACTATATCCATATTGCACAGAGGGCTGGGGCACTCTCATGGAAATTAATCTTTTGTCAGCTGCCAGCTTGGGGCAATGGCAGAGTCTGATTTAGCTCCCAGTGTGGACAGGGAAATGCAACATAATAAGAAATGCATCATCTGTTAGCCTGCACTGGCTTGTTGAGCGCTAGTTAGCGATCAGAGAAAGCCCTTCTGTTCCTGGTGGCCCTTCTAGATTCTAGTCACCTCATGACTTTCCTTTCTGAGATGTCTGTTATTGTTCAGTAGAAGAAAAAGTGTTCCATACCCTCACCTAGTTCCAAAAAACAGAATGGATGCTTGGATATATATATTGTAGACTTTGTCTCCTGTCGGTGTTTGAGCAGTGTTTGATCTTGCAGAGTGAAGATGGTGGCCTTCCTGGTGAAGGCATGCAGAATGCATTTTGGGGACCCTGTGGTAGGGTAGGAATTAAGTCAAAAGAAGAGATCAAGTATCTGTACTATTGATTCATTGTCAGTTCACTTTGTCCTTCTTGGGGGGGCAAGGGAGGTGAATGACTGGACAGTGCGTGGAACGGGCCGTTCATGCCGTTTCAGTGCCAGTTCATGGGCCCTGGCCGTTGGGAACTTGCCGTGCCTTCCTTGTCCTTTCCTTTTCCTTTCCTTTTCCCTTTCCTTTTCCCTTTCCTTTTCCCTTTCCTTTTCCCTTTCCTTTTCCCTTTCCTTTTCCCTTTCCTTTTCCCTTTCCTTTTCCCTCAAACAAAATAATCATATGAAGTGCAGTTAAGGAAGGGTTTCCTGTAGAAACTGCATTCAGCCCAAGATTAAGATGCGTTGCTTACCATATCACTGCTAATATGGGTTCCTAACCTTGTCCTGAAGAGAGCAAAATTTGTTTGTTATTAAGCAATTGAAGAAAACAAGGGAGGCAAAAAACCTGTCAGCATCTGGTGTTTCATTGAGATGATATGGTTTGGGTTCCCTGCCCTTCCAAGAAAGAGCCGATAAAGCCTGAAAATCACAGAATCACAGAATTTCTAGGTTGGAAGAGACCTCAAGATCATCGAGTCCAACCTCTGACCTAACACTAACAGTCCTCCACTAAACCATATCCCTAAGCTCTACAAACCATATCCCTAAGCATCTTCAATGTAGTAGTTACTGATTAAACGTTTTACAAAATCAGATAAAAACACATGAAGATATGGTTAAAAGCACGTAATACTTAGCAGACACCTGACTTTTGCACAAACAGAAATTGGGCAACTATTTGCACGTTTGAAAAAAGTGCATCGTTGCAGAGGACGTGGGGGAGAAAAGTCTGTCGCTGCTGCCTGTGTGTGCCTGTAGGGAGGTGCGTGCCAGAACGTCCCGTTGTGCCTCGGTGCTTCCTTCATCCCATTGCTCCGAGCCAGCCGGTTCTCCAGCAAGGCTGTGTGTTGGAAGCCCGCAGGTGCCTGGCTGGCACAGAGGAGAAATTAATGCTTTTTTGGGAAGTCCATAGGTTACATAAACAGTGGCTGTTGATATTATTTAAAGTTCAGTACCTAATGCTGTGTCTAAATATACATTCTGAAACTGAGCAGTGTGTACATGTGCTTGTCGTGAGACTTATAGGAGATGTTGCACCAAGTCTGTAAGAGCTGAAGACTTGAATCTCTGTCTCCCCATCTAAGCAGAAGACAGCTTCCCCAGAAGCTTGTTCAGGGGTGTCAGTCTTCTCCACCATGCGGGAGAGATGCTGTAAGCTCTCCTGTGACTGAGGGCACACGGTTCAAATGCTGCTCAGCAGTGGGTACTGGAGACATCTGCTGTTGGGTGCCTCCTGCTGCCCCAAGCCCCTTGACCAGCGTGGGCTCCTGCTGGTCGTGCCTGGCCCTGACCACCCGCGGGTGCTCCTGACCAAAGGGCCAGCCTTGGCGAAGTGACCCCAGTCTTCTCATGGAAAATTGAATTGTATTTTTCAGGTCTCAAGTGTGTGTGCCAGCTGTGCGAGCACACGAACTTCACCTGCCAGACAGAGGGAGCGTGCTGGGCTTCGGTCATGCTGACCAACGGGAAGGAAGAAGTGGTCAAGTCCTGTGTCTCCCTCCCGGAGCTGAATGCTCAAGTCTTCTGCCACAGTTCCAAAAACATCACAAAAACCGAGTGCTGCTACACAGACTTCTGCAACAACATCACCCTCCGCCTGCCCATAGGTACGTACTGCCTGAATGCAAAGTGATATGCGAGTGCTTTGTGATGGCATGGGAGCTGCAGAAACACTGGGCAGAGAGCACGGCTGTGAGAGCAGCTAATTAAGATTTTAAAAGCTGGCTGTAAAAGCAAAAGCTGTTTTTTATTTTTTTCCCAACTGAGGAAAAACTAAATTGTGACTATGTTTGGGAAAAAGGAAACTAGTTGCATTGCCTAAATTTTCCAGACACTGTCTTTTGTATCCCAGGAGCTGTTAACCATGAAGACAAAAGGAGGTGTGTGGAGGAAAAAGCCTTATCACCTTACAGATCTTTATAGGCTGGGGCATCTTAAGTGAGTTTGTGGTTTGAATTGGCATTAGTTTAGATCTTGGGAAGGTTTTGGCTGGCATTACAGGGGCTTCTCATGTGGCATGGATCAGCAACCCACTGCAGCTGCAAATTGGTGGTTGTGGGGAGCCGAGCACCGTGCGCTGCTGAGCGAGCGGATCATGTGTTAACTGGTGCTTTGCCAGGAGATAATGAGGACCTTACAGCCTAAGATTTACAGCCTAAACTGTCTCTGCAGCCTATGTAAAAGATCTGCATTAGATGGGTTGGGTAAGAATCCAGACTAGGGAGGTGTGGAAAGAAGGCAATTGTAGACGCTTGTTGTCAATGGCATGTGGGAAACCCAGCCCATGATTTCGGCCAGATGAGGGTCTGGATGCTCGGTGAGCCTGCACTGGGATGAAGCAGCCCCAGCATGTAGGGAGCTGCTCTCCCCGTTCCCCTTGTGCAGTCTGCGTCCTGCTTCCTGGCCTGGACCGCCCAGCAGCTGCTGCAGGTCGTGCAGGATGTCGCGCTGCTGGAAGCCGCGTCTGCAGCTCTGTTGTGATGGGCAGGAGTGACACTGGGCTTGTGTGGTACCTGGGGCTGGCTTGGTGGGAGTGAGGAGGGACGCTGGATACAAAGTTGTTGCTGGAGGAAATACTTATGTTTCAGCAATTTTGTAAGTCTGTCTTCAGCTTTTGGCTTCTGCAATTCATTTTAGCAGCTTGTAGTGCAGCTTTTGTTCTGTGTTAAATCAGTATCATTGATTTTTGCCCAGCAGACACAGGAAGGTGTGAGATTCCTGGTTCCAATGAGAGGGAGGAAAAAGATTTATGCTTCTGGGAGCTCTGTATATTACACAGTCAGTGCAATACTCAAGTCTGGCAGATTCAGAACTGTGTGGTGAAGTTGATTTGGTCCATTTGAAAACATATATTTACGCTATTTTTAGATTTAATTATTGATAATATACTTCACCCTTCTCTCCAGTAAAAATTGTGCTTCATCCAAGCTTTTTGAATAAGCTGTCAACTCTACTACTTCAACAAATGATACCTTTTTATGTATAGTTACAGTAGTGAGAGATGTTACAGATAAGAAAGATGTAAAGTAATACATAATTTACAGTTGTAATTTGCACTTCAGCTGCTATTGTAGAGTAGCTAACAGAATTAAAACCATCTGTTTCTGTGAGCATTTGATACTTAAGATACAGGAGGGCAGACTCAGCTGTCAGTGAGGGGAAGGACTCCTGAAAAGTCAGTTTCTAGAGGGGGCACTGAAGGGATGGGTTTGGGGAGGGAGGGCTGGGAGACTGCAGGTAGGGTGGGAGAGGGAAAGTGATGGTGTGCGAGGAGACACATTTAGGGGACACTTAGTGCCATGTCAACAGAGACACTTGCTACTATGCGAGTAGTGGTAGTACAAGTCGAGTCGACTGAACGGTGTGTAGATGGAGCCTGCAGAGCTCTCTGTGGGATCACCCAAAGGGAGTTTGGCTGGGCTGGCCCTGGGGATTGTTGGTGTCTGGTGCTGACTGAGGGGCTGGGCACTGCCGGAGGGGGCTTGGCCCCTGCGAGCATCCCCTGAGCACCTGGGCTGGGTCATGGTCTCTTGGCTGGGGGGCTGCTCCCCTGTGTCCAACCTGACCTAAAGAGTAAGGGTTTTTGGGTATGTGTCTTTTGGTCAACAACAGAAGGGTGATACTAATAGTAGTTATGCTCTAGATACGTAGAAATAAAAGCCACACCTGTTCAGGTTGGGATGCTGGAAACTTGGGAGACAGCTGCAATTTTGAGATGGAGTGGAGGATTGTCTGTCTTCCTAACATTTGAACTGGTAGTTGCAAAACCTCTGGTTATGTGTTTCAGTACCAGCAAAAGTTACTTAATTTTTAGCCTGAGCCCTTTGCTCTAAACATTTGGGGGAATTCACGTTAGTCAAAAGTTTACAGCGCCAATGTTACTTGCTTGCTGGTCTTGCTGGACAGCCCTTTTCCAAATAATTAACATTATTTGAAAGCTCCAGCAAGAATAAACTTTCTTAGGGGTATTGCTGAGTATGTAGGTGAAAGAGCTGGGCAGCGGGAGATGGGGTTGTGCCGGGCCCGCTGTGCCGCGGGAGGCCTTCAGCTGGAGGGAGGCCTGCGGGCCGCGGGGAAGGCTTTGGCTGCCTGCTACCTCTGCTGCCTCGGTGGGGGGGTCCTTTGCTGAGCAAGGTTCTGTGTCCAAAGCAACTTCTAGGCTACTCCTTGCTCAGCTTGCATCTTTTCTTCTTTCATTCCAGTCCTATGTGATACTTGGACATTCTAACTGAGGTCTTGGACTCATCACTGAGGAAAGAAATGTAAAATGGAGGCACCGTAGCAAATAACCAGTAGGCACTGCAAGCTATCAGCTGGTGTGATTAAAAAAATAAAGCAAACCAGAGGCAGTTCTAAGTTTGGTAATCAGTCCAGTATCTTGCTGAAGTGGTAAAAGTTTAATTTCCACTGCTGTGTAAGGATGAGGCCAGGATTCATGCAGCCGGGACTTGTGAAAGGGCTCTGCTCAGGGAGTGCTCATAAAAGTCCCCATAGAGAAGTGGCTGGTCCAGCAGCCCATATGCAGTGTCACTTCATCCTCTGGCATGTCACCACACACCTCCTGAAGCTGTTCTCGTGTTGGCTGTCCCTTGCCAGCGGTGGCAGGTAACCAAGCCACGGTGTCTGTCCATTGGTGCCTCACTTGGCCACACAGGCTCTCTGGTCTTTAACACAGTATCTGCTTTGTCAAGATGCTAATTTAGGCCAGCCCACCTACAGCCACCCTCTCTTTAAAAGAGTAATAGTTTGGTGCCTGGTACAGACACCTTAATATGGGAGTTAAATGTATATTAACATATGTTTCCACTATGCAGATCCTAGTTTAAAAGTAGAGCACACGGATATGGAAAATTTGCCATTAGGCAGGATTGAATTTCACTGAGGAGAGGTGTTGGGAAGGTCCAGGGCAGGGCACATCCCTGCCAGAAGGCAGGAGCTTCTGCAGGCTCTTCCCACCCGGTTCCTGCAGCCCCCGCCAGCCTGGGGGCCCAGGCAGCTCTTCTTCGTGCCCACCCGCTTCAGCTCAGCTCTGTGTTAATTACCAAGGGCTCACGGTGTGTAATACCAAGAGTGACTGGGAAACAATAAAGTAACGTGCACCATGAGGATCTCTGAGGCAGAAAGCAATTTGTTTTTTATGATTGCCCGTGCATGAATTTCCACGGTAAGGCTGCAGGTGGCATTGCGTGCCTCATTCAGCAGCAGAGCTGTCCTTGCTGTGTCGTGTGCGAGAGGAGGTTGCTCCTTGTTCCTGAGTTGGGTTTTTTACCATGTGTGAAGAAAATAAACATTTCTAAGGGCAGATGCAATCTTCATATCTGCTTTTTATATACTTGTGGATTTCATCGCAATATTTTTGCATTGACAGGTCATATGTTCCAAAGTGCAGGACTGGTTTTCAATAATTAGGGTTTTTCTGTTACCCTGAATTTGTTTCCAGTTTTCTACTATTTAAACTACAACACTTTCTGCCCAAGCCGGTGACCTGAGAGGACCTATGTCTGTCAGTGGGGTGTCATATCAGGTCTACAGAAAATGGCCTGCATGCTGCTTCCATGCTGGTTCTTTCGATGAATGTGTGTGTCTACAAGAAATTGCCTGTGTTCACCTCAGCATGCTGCAGACTGTTTTAAGGACTTGCTAATAAGATCTTGAAGATTTCAAGTTGTAGACTGGTGCTTCACAGGGCTATCAGGCCATATTTCAGATTAGGGAGATGGTCCTTGTGATCCGTCCCCACCCCATCTGTGAGAGGGTTTTGCCCCCTCACAAGCCTGTTTATAGGTGACAGACCCCTACCTGCAGCCCCAGGGCAGGTGGCTGGAGGTTCTCATAACTCAATGCTTGCGTTTGGTTATGGTGGTTTGAGCTTAGCATGGCTCAATACAAACAGGCTGGGGAACATTCCCATCTCTTCTCCAAAGCAGCAATGTTGGTGTTGGCCTCAGTCACCTCCTTCAGTGGAGGCAGTGACTCAACAGCTGTTGAACCCAAGCCTGAAGGTTCAGACTTCTTAGGCTTGTTACCAGGTGCAGTAATCAGGGCCTTCTTAACCTCGCATATCGTCTGTTTATAGATGCGTGGGAAAAGTTCGTGTGACTGTCATTCTAAACTCTTGATCTCAAAACACCTAGTGATGCCAAGTATTAAGTCTCTGTCTTTACAGATACTGAAAATTGAGGCTGGATGGGTGCTGGTAGGTTTGCAAACGTGTCATAGGGCTATGGGCTTTCAGACCAGCCTGCTTTCAGTGACTGCCTAAAGAAAACCTCGACCTCTATGAGAAGGAAATTGGTGATGTGTTCAGACTGTACAATAATGCACCTGTGAGTTAGTGGGAAAATCCAACACAACAAAAAGTCTCTGTAAAAGCTTTAATTCTATTTTTTTATTTTTTATTTTTTCCTCTTGCAAATTTACCCCCATGGCTCCAGCAAAAAGCACCACACTGCTAGAAAGGTGTCTGCTCACTCTGGGGTCCTGGCAGTGCAGCATCTCTAGAGCTTGAGATGAAAAATCTATTGTTCTGTATTTATATGATGGAAAATGAGTCAGAGGAGCGAGGAGGCTTTATGGAACAAGATTAAGATAGCAGTGGGATTAACAAACTGTATTATAAGTAATTTGCCAGCTCTTCTCTTTACTGTCATTGCCCAAACTGTGCGGTCACAAAAGGCACTCATATCACCTACAGAGGTACAGAGCAGGATGAAAGAAAGTGGAATATAGAACAAATCCTAAGAACAAAAAATCCTTGGACATATTCATATTGATAAGAAAGATGATTTATACTAGCTAGATTAACTACCAGGCAATATTTTCAATCTCTTTTTTTTTTCTTTTTAATATCTGCCTTTTTATTTATTATTTATTATTTATTTTTTATGAACAAGTAATTACTTTTCACTATATTTACCTCTTTGAAAATCCCTAAAAACATTAAAGCCTTTTTAGGTGAATGGAATGCACAGATTTATTAATATTCAAGAAGTCAGATACTGCTGTACTAGTTTATAAGGCACATAGTAATACAGAAAATTAGAAGAATCAGCCTTCAACTAATAATTTGCGGAATGAAATCAAGTGTTTGAAAATATATTATAAGGGAAATACATTCAATTGTTTAAATGTAAGAAAAAGTAGTAACTGTTTTCTGTAATTTAAAGCAGGGGAAAAAAAAAAAAAAAGAAAAAAGATCCATATTAAGGAACATGATTATAAAGGATCCTGAAGGGCAGATGGGTGAGCAGGCTGCCCTGCTGGTCAGGGTTCAGGGTAAGGCTCTGGCTTTGCCTTTTCTTTATTCTAGGCATTCATTGTCTGTTAGTGAACACCATGTAAAGGTTTCTTTTTGTTTTCCCAGTACTAGCATCATCAAGAATAGCTTAGAAGGAAGGTACAGAGAGAGTGAAGAGAAAAAAGACAATTATTTCACTAACTTTTCTAACTTTTCTAAAATGTTTAGTGATGGATAAAAATAGGGAGGATGGGGAATGTGGCAAAAAGAAAAGAGGAAGTGAAATATTTTGGTATATATTTTTGCTATTCTTTGAGGCCACTTTGTTTCTTCTGAACTGGTGGGTTTGGAAGCCAGTGCCAGAGTCCCGTGCCAACACTAACAGCTTGTGTTACCAGTCTGCTGCAATGCAATAGTAGAAACTTCATTTAGTTGATTGTTTTCTGTTTTGAGTTTTTGATGAAAAAGATGTTATGGCACGGACGTCAGGACAGAGGTTAAGACTGTGTGAGCTGTAGTAAACCTGTTTCCTTTCCATGTTCACCCAGTTCGGTGCTGTACCACTGATGCAATTCTTAGGATAATCTCCCAGTTGGACTGATCTGAAGTTCTCCTTGAAAAAGGTTCAGTAGGCAGAGCTGCAGCCTGTCATAGCTGCTCTGTGAATGTGTAATTTGGCAAATATTTCACATACTGTTGAACATCTTGGCTGTCCCAGGTTCATGTGCTCCAGAGGAATTTGTAAGAATACAGCCATTTGAAGAGAAGGCAGGGGAAGGGACAGGAAATCGGGGGAATAGGAATTTAGGTAATGTACCTGTTTATCTTGCAGCTGTATCCCTGATGGCTTTGCTTGAACCTCCAGATCCTTCAGCAGGCTTTTCCCAGATGATTTCTGAATGTCCTGAAAGGGATGGTGGAGTCTGCAGTCATGGTGGAGGCTGGAGAAACTTGATTTTAGTCTCTAGTCCAAATTATGTATTTTTGAAATTGTTTAAAAATATCCTGTAGATCTGATTAGAGCTCTGCATTAGATACAATACATTTTCTTACAGCATTGGAAAGAATACATATTTTTTTTTTTCCACCTGAGTAGTTTAGGAACTTAAATATGAATAGTTTAGGACTTTTATAAGTCTTAAGGTTGCCATTATATGTTAAAAAACAGGCAAATGCCGTGTGTGAAAATGTCTTTTCTGTTGGAGGGAAAATAACTTTTTTTTTTTTCTTTTTTCTTTTTTTTCTCCTGCCTAAAAGCACTCTTCTATTTACACAACTTGGAATATAACTGTACCATATTGTGAAATTGCTGAAGATTGCCAGATGTGCTATTTTTGTTTCATACATGGCAACATGTCTTCAGGGTCTATTCTTGATCAGTAAGACATTGAATAATACATTAGACATAAGATTGCAAAACATTTTGATTAACGGTGTTGATTTAATAGTTTTAGGTAGTCATGAGAGATTTTCTTATTTCCCAAAGTGTTTAACATTGCACAACTGCCGTAAACATTACCACACTTATTTGGTGCTTTTGTCTCAAATTACTGTTTGTACCTTGTGTGCTGTGTGTTTTGCTCATCGCTCCTCCGGCACACGGCGTTGCTGTGGGAAGCCCCAGGGGCTGGCGGTGTCCCAGCCCGCAGCAGCAGGCTGCAGGGCACGGGCGCGGTGCTGCTGCAGGATGCCATGCCGCAGGGGGTCAGCACTTGAAGACGGCCTGCAACGGAACGCGAAGCAGAAAGCACAAGGCTGGGAATTCCCAAGGCTCCCGTGTGTGCTCTGTGAAGAACTGGAAGGGGTTTGAGTAGTTGCCAGCAGCCTTGATCTACGCTTTGGTACAGCCAGGAGACTAAGGGAGGACAAATGTGGTCTCCAGCTGACTCCTTCCAAGAAACTTCTCTAGACAGTCAGGATCTCTTCATTTCCCAGGAACTTGGTGGAGACCCTGTGCAAACCGCCCCGGATGCCTCAGCTCGCAGTCTCACTGCTACCTCGCCTCCTGCATCTGAGCACTCTCAGCTTAAGCAGCATCCCAGAGGAGTCCTGTAAGCATCACTGAACTTGATTTTATTCTGAGCAACTGTTACTGCTTAAGTCATAAAGTTGGCATCTGTTTGTATTCCTGATTCTGGATGTTACCTTCTTGGGTGGATGTGAGTGTTTGAGCTTTGCTTCTGCCTCACTGATGTCCCGCTCTGAGTCCCCAGGATGGCCCTGAGTATCTTTGTGTCCCCTTGCCCATCCTCCTGTGCAAGGCAAGTTTTCTTCTGCTCTGTGCCCAAGGAGGTCAAAATGTTCCTGTTGGCCTGCTGTACTCACTATGTCCCTGCTAGACCTGCCAGTTTCTGCTTTCCTGGCTCCCAAAGCACCATACTGAGAGGGAAATGTCTTTAAAAATTAAGTTATGCAAAGTTCTCTCAGCCTGCACTGCTATTGTTTAACAATACAAATTAAGTTTTATATTCAGTAAAAATGTCTGATCGCTCTGGTGCTACAGTTTGAGACTTTTTTTTACCAATAATCATAGTTTTGTGTTTTTTCTTAAAGACATGCTGAGTGCTTTTTTTAGTGCCCCAAAAATCTGCCATAAAACCTCTTTCATCAGCACAAATACTTGTACAATGTACAACCCATGCACTGAAAGTTCAGAAAGTTTCATGTCCCTACTCCAGAAGCCCCAGATGGATTGCCGTGCCATTTAATTCTGTTTGCAAATCCGTGCACCAAACCTGGATTTGCAGAATGTATGACATAGAATCGTAGACATAGAGACTGCCGTAGTATGGCTTTAATATTGAAATCCCATCAAAATGGGTGCTGTCTTTAGGTTCATTGGGTGAGTCAGGAGCATGCCCTGCAATGAGAGAAGTGGCTGTGGGAGTGCACGTTTCACCACTCGCCTTGCTCAGACATCAGTATTTTGTGCTTGTTGTCATCACCCAGTTTCAGGAAACCACAGAAAGTTTTTTTTTTTTATATATACATAGATAAGTATTTAATTTTAAGATTAAAAGAAAGCCAACAGTAACTGTTATCCTTTTTGCCTGTACAGGTGTGCCACCTGTGACATCCAAGCTTGCAAGGGAACTCACAAGGCTTGAAAGAAAAAAACTAAAAAGGAACTAAATGGAAGATTTTGAAGAAGTTTGCTTCTGGCAAGCATGGTGCTCTAGAATGGAGGATGCTGTGAAAATGGACAAAAGGGAAGGACCAGGAGGGGGACACGTGGGAGCAGTGAATGTACTTGATGGGAAGGGGCAGAAGTGGGCTGGCAGGAGACCATGTGGTGATGAAGTAAAACGTCTGCCTGGCAAAAGCAGGCGTGTGCATGCGATGAAGGTTTGCAGACAGGAGCAGGAGGCGCGGGTGAAGAACGTCCCATCAGGACTACTGCTTGCTTTGCCTCCCGTAGCCATTCCATGTGGGCAGCACCCACAAGCATGGCAGGTGCCTAAGGTCACTTGCAACTGGAGCAAATATTTCATAGGAGGACCACCTGTCACGGCTTCTTGCAGGAAGGGAGGATTGCCACGTCAGCTCGTGGGCACTGAGCTTGTGTGCCCGTCTCCAAAGACCGCACATGGAAACACCTCCTTTCTGAAATGCTCCTCCTGCAGCTCGACTGTTGCTGTTCAAAGCCTCATGAGTTGTTTGTTTTTTTTTTTTTTCTTTTTTCTTTTTTTTCTTTTGATCTTATTTGCATGGGCCTAAGGACAATAAAGTTGTATGTTTTCTCATTTTATGTTGTTTTTCAGCAGTTGGTGAAGGAATGGGTATCTCAAAGTGCCTTGTGCATGTTTGTCTTTACCAGCCCCTGCTGACAGACAGTGAATGTGCTTAGGTCTATGCATGGGGGCATCGATTTGGGCAATGCACTGGAAGTCCTGTGTTTTGTACACCAACCACCCAAACCACTGCTCCTTGCCCTGACTCTTTGCACCAAGTGCACAGCTTTCCATGCAGCTGGGCAGCCCTCGCCAGGGTCCAGCACACACAAAGTCATACATGGAGCAGTGAGCAGCTGCTCAGCCCGGTGTGCCTGCGCAGCAGGAATGGCCCCACAGTGCCCAGAGCCAGCTGCGGCACCAAAGTTCATGAGATAAAGGATACCTGCTTTCTGCACTTCAGCAGTCCTCCGGAGGAACTTTCTGGCATGTGGATGCAGTCAAAAACAGCTTAGGAAATCACAGCGCATCGGTTAACGAGCAGCAGCCACGAGGAAGCATCCTGCCTGCAAATCCTCTTATGAATCTGCCAGCTAACCCTGTGAACATCCTGCTGAGGACTATTAAAGGAAAAGCCCGTGGGCGAGATGTAGTGACTTTGCTTTCAGAATGGTTTGAATTGTATTCTGTGAATAGACACGGGTCTGTTGTTAACTTTTTGTTTATTTTCTTTTCTTTTCTCACTTATTCAAGTGCATTGTGTTAAAAATGTAAGGGAGAGAAGAAAAAGGACCAAATCAACTTTGCACAGCTAACTGCTGATCCTGGCACTTCTGAATCATGGAGTGCATGCCTTGATACTGTCATTTGAAGAAAAACTGCTTCAGTCATAGTATTAACTGGAGGAAAGTAAGTGTCCGTACTGAGAGCCAGGGAACTCGTCAGGCTTCTGAGACTCCAGAGCAGTGTGTGAGCTGCAGAGTGCTTCTGTGCAGTGCCTCAGCTGCTCCCAAACTGCAGCACACTCACTGCCTAGCACTTTCTGAAAGGGAAAGAGGGCCTTTTTTCTTTTCTAGAAATACTACAGGAGTGACGTTGTATGGTATGAAGTTGATGATTCTTGAATCTTCTATAGCCTTTAGGCCCACGATTTGGAACTTGTGATTCAGTGTGCTTTGATTCAGTGGTTGTTGTTTTTAGCTTATTCACAATTTTGCAGGCATTAAGGAGACCATGTGCAAGTAAACACTGTAATAATGTATTCCTGCAGCATCTTGGTATGTTTTTTACCCCTGTAGATTTAAATTGGAAAGTGATGTAGAACAGTCCCCGTTTCTTGACACTTGTCAAACATAATTTTGTGAACACAAGTTTCAAAAGTGTTCTGTCTCAGAAATCCTTTTGTTGCCTCATTACTAGGTCTCTGTATTCCCCTACGCATTCAGTGTTAGGGAAGCAGCTTTTCCAAGGATTCGGTTTTGGCTGGGACAGTGCATTGAGAAATCTGTACACGAGCCGTTAGGAGAGGGAAGGGCACGGTGCTGCCGGCAGTGGAGCTGATCGGGTGTGTGGCACCTCTTGGTTGTGCTGGGTGTGGGGCCGAGTCTCAGCCATGCTGTGGGTGCCTCACACCCGGCCTGAGCCAGGGCAGCCCTGGCACCGGGCTGTGCTTTGGTCTGCCCTGCTGCCAGCTTGCTGGGCCGGTCCTGTCTCCTCATCCATGGTGTTTGTGGTGGCGCTGGTCAGTGGTAACGCGGTGTTGGCCTGAGCCCAAGGTACACGCAAAGACGTGTGCGGGGAAAGCCTCAGCAGCATGCAGAGCCTTGGTCTGTCCTGCTGCCAGCAGGACTCGGGGAAATAATGAAACCTTGATGCCTCGTCTGCTCAGCAGTCCCTCACTCACTGTCTGTTTTCCCCCACCCTTCCCCTTGTCTCTCCCCAAAGCGTCCGAGTCCCCCAGCCGTGCCAGCGCAGGGCCCGTGGTGCTGGCGGTGACGGTGGCCGTGCCCGTCTGCGTCCTGTCCCTCGTGGCGGTGCTGGCTGCCTGCGCCTGCCAGGGCCGGCGCTGCGCCTACGGCAGGAAGAAGCAGCCCAACGTGGAGGAGCCGCTCTCCGAGTGCAACCTGGTCAGCTCGGGCAAGACGCTCAAGGACCTCATTTACGACATGACCACGTCTGGCTCCGGCTCCGGTACGGGGGTGTCCCTGGGTGCGCTGCGTCTCGTGTCCACCAGCACCGTGGGGAGCAGGGCTGCTGTGCTGGCCCTGTCTCTGGCTCCTTGTGGGGCTTCAGAGCAAACGCTGGTGATACTGAGCCAAGTGCTCACCTGCAGAGTGGTGACAGACGTGCTCTGAGCCTGGGATCTGGTGCAGGGGCACCCACGGGCTCCCACGCCTGGCACACGCTGCACCGGGGGGAGGCCAGGAGGGCTGGCCAGGCTTTGGTTGCTCTCCTTCTGTCAAGTAGCAAAAGCTCAATCCCTTCCTCCAACGCAAAGGTTAAGAAGGTGACTCAGAAGTGTGTTGCCTGTGCTAACAGAGCCATTGGTGGCTAATATGTCCTAGGAAGTACTGCCGTTAACTGGATGAAGCAGAAAGCCACTGCTGACGTCCTTCTGACTGTGCCAAAATACGATTACTCCAAATACTTATTCTGAGCAGTATACTAACATTTTTAATGTTTTCCCCGTTTGTAATATCCTTTCTGCTATGAGGCCCCCACTGCTATTGAGAACTTGCCTAATCACAAAATCACAAAATCCCAAATTCCAGTTCATCGTGTTGGTGGCACATCTGGTGTGTGTGGCCCAATTTGCTGTAACTATAATTTTTATTTATCTGAAAAATACATAAATTATGCTGATTTTTTTTGTAGGTGAAAAATGTGCAAATGATGCTTAATTTAATTGACTATACCTTCCATGGACTGCATACCTGCAGGCTTAATTTATTACACTTCCCCAGTCTTTCTTTGTGGATATAATAAACTTTGTATACCCTGCGGGTTTAACTGCTCACACGCAGCTGAGCTAACCACAGGGCTGTCTTTGTGCCAGCCTGCAGTGGAGGCAGAGGAAGAATCTACTGGCACTGGTGCAGTTTATTCTGATTTCAGGCAAATAACAAGTGCATTCCTTGTGGCCTGGCTGCTGCATGCAGGGTGGCCACCAGCGGCCAGGACAGGGCTGTACAGAGGCAGCAGTGGGTACGAGGTGTCAGGGAAACCAGAGGAGAAATTTGAATAAATTTGAATAAGCTGACCTTCAAACTGTAATTTTTCTTGCTGATTACTTTGCTCTGTTAAAAGCCAGGCTGTCTGGATTTAAGAAAAATAAAAAGTTTTGCTTTAAGATGCAGTATCAAATCAAACAAGGCAGGGCTTTATGGCTTGAAAAAAAACAAAGAGAAAAATATGGTGAATACCATAGAAAAGATCCCAGATATGATAGAAAGTTCCAGATACGTTAGAGCAAGATTTTGAAAATGAGGCATGGGACATCACATCAAATAATTAGGGACAATAAATAAATGAATAAACACACACAAAAAAAACAACCAAACAACAACAACAAAACCCCACAATGTTACAGGTGCTCAGTAAACGAACACTATTTGGGATATGTACTGACTGAGGCACGGGCTGGTGGAAAACTAGGATCATAAGTACAGTTACGTATGTGTAAAAATGAAATGCTTCAAAAATGAAATGAAAAAAAGAATACACTTAGGAGACCAAGTGGAGGTTGAGTGTTATTAATTCTGGTGTGTTTAACACCACAACTGACATTGATAAGGCTGCTGTCACAAGGAGGGAGTGTGAGTATGTGTATTCCAAGTGAGGAAAATGTTAGTGTTACTGTTCTCAATGTTTCTTAGCACCTTGGTGTATACTCCTTTCCTGAGAGGAAAAAAATGCTCTAAACTTCATACAAATCTGAAAAATCAGTTTATGTTTAATATATTTGAGAAATGCTGTGGTAAACAGTATACGGGACTTAGCAACATCTATTTATAAAACAAACAAACAAAAAAAAACGCCTTCTTGCAAAAGTTGTGAAATTGCTGACCTATTTCACAGATGCCCATCTTTTCCTTTCAAACTAGGCTTACCTCTGCTCGTACAAAGAACAATTGCAAGGACTATCGTTCTGCAGGAAATCGTGGGAAAAGGCCGCTTTGGCGAAGTCTGGCGTGGAAAGTGGTGTGGGGAAGATGTTGCCGTGAAAATCTTCTCCTCAAGAGACGAGCGGTCGTGGTTTCGGGAGGCAGAGATTTATCAGACGGTTATGCTGAGACATGAAAATATCCTGGGCTTTATTGCTGCTGATAACAAGGGTATAATTGCATTTCCTCATTCAGTTTCACAATTTAAAGCTGGCTGGCCAACAGCATTCCCATACTGCGGGGCACTCGGAGTGTCTGCCCGAGGCTGGGCCCTGCTGCCCCGGTCCCAGCTGAAGTGAGTGCCGGGGAGGTCCCCAGCCAGGGCTGCCACCGTCTGCCCAGGGCAGGGACAGCGGGGCCAGGCAGTGCTCGAGGCGTGCTGGGACCCCATCCGGACCTGCCACGGGGGTGGGTGCTGGCCAGATGATGGGGAGGACTTTTCTCGGTGACATTTCTTATGAAGCTGAACCATCTCACATCCTCTTGGCAGATAACGGGACCTGGACCCAGCTGTGGCTCGTCTCCGAGTACCACGAGCAAGGGTCCCTGTTCGACTACCTGAACAGGGGCACGGTGACAGTGGAGGGCATGGTGAGGCTGGCACTGTCCATCGCCAGTGGGCTGGCACACCTGCACATGGAGATCGTGGGCACGCAGGGTAAGCACCTCTCCCCCTCTGCCCTTCAGGTATGTGAAGGGACTCGGTGGTGCTGATAGAGCAGAGCATGTGTTATTTGCACCACCAGAAACTGTATTAGCATGAGCATACATGGTACAGGGTAAATGGAGACTAGGAATATCATCTTCCCAACTGAGTTTGTGGTCCTCGTGGCTTTTAAAATGCAGATTTTCAGATTTTCGGCACTGTTTCTGCTGTAATTTGGGATAGCCTAACTACACCCCTTCCTTGCCAGTCAGGCACAAAGAATATTGGGCTGGTCTGTTTCGGATAAACAAAACTCTCCTCTGTTATTGATGTGATAATGAAGCAGCCACTTCACAGAGCTAACCACTGCGTTTGGGTAGTGCTGCAGCTAATTGTGTCTGTTTCAAAAAACACTCATTGCCTGTCTGCTCCAGCCTTTGTAAGTGAGCATCTGTGGGAGCAGCTCTATTAGAGGGGTACGCTAATGAATGATTCTCTAAATGACTGTGGAGTGGGAATTTACAGTTTTGTTCCTGAAACAGACATATTTGAACAAAAATGCCTTTTTTTTTTTTATTATTTATTTTGATAGCATTGATCAGAGCTTTACTTGGAACAAAATTGCCTGTCGTGTTTTTTTACAAGGTAGAGCACCAAAACTGAATAAAAATGTTTTTGTTTTACTTGCTCATTATACTAAAATTTGTACTGCGATCACCAGAACAGACAGCAGCTCTTTGTTGTGAGCAGGCAAGCCAGCGATCGCACACAGAGACCTGAAATCCAAGAACATCCTGGTGAAGAGGAACGAGAGCTGTGCCATCGCAGACCTGGGGCTGGCTGTGAAGCACGACTCCGTGCTCAACACCATCGACATCCCGCAGAACCCACGGGTGGGGACGAGGAGGTGCGGGCAGGCAGCACAACGAGCTTCCCCGCAGGCTCCCAGGCTCCTGGCGGGGTGGTGTGGTGCCGTGCAGTGGGTGCAGCATGGTGCAGTGGGCACAGGCTGGTGGCACTGGGCACAGGAGGCCACTGGGCACACTGCTGGGGCAGCCCCGCACATCCTTCCCGGTGCTGCAATGACTTGAGGTGGCCATGGCATCCCTCTTTCCCGTCTGTGTGTCTGTCACTTGGCAGCGCAGCCACAGTCATCTGTGCGAGCTGGCTCTAGCAAACTGACCTGTGTGTCCTTTAAAGGTACATGGCTCCTGAGATACTTGATGATGCGATGAACACAAACATCTTCGAGTCCTTCAAGCGTGCAGACATCTACTCTCTTGGGCTAGTCTACTGGGAGATAGCACGAAGGTGTTGCGTTGGAGGTGAGCTGTCTGCCCTTTTTATTCTGCTGTCCAGACTGCTTGCATCCTAAATAAACCAAACACAATTAAAGGAACCATGTTCCTGGCCCCGTACTCTCAATTACCCTCGTAGAATGTGGAGGCAGAAATCTGTTGTTGAGCACTTGTTCTGCACCAAGAAACAAGGTGGCCCCAAATGTCCCCGTTCCTTCTCATTGCCTATAAAAACAATCGGAGTTTATTCTGAAGCAGTGATTGTGCATTTTGTGTGCCCTAAACGATAAATCTTTCCTAGGAATCACTGAGGAATACCAGCTGCCTTACTATGATGTTGTGCCTTCTGATCCGTCGATAGAAGATATGAGAAGGGTAGTTTGTGAGCAGAAGCTCAGACCAAATATCCCAAACCAGTGGCAAAGCTGTGAGGTAAAAGCAGTTTTCCAGTTTGTTATAAAACCTATCTAAATAAAGACAGAACATTTCAGTGAGACAGAGGGAAGCCCGTGCCCAGCCTCCACTCAGTTTAAATGCATTCAGATGTCTAGGCTTGTTTCAGCTCCCAGATCAATGCGTAGGAAACTGTCTTAGCACCAAATTCCAGATTTCTTTCTTTGACTGTGGTAGATAGGTCTTGATTTATGGCACTGCTGTTCTGTCGTTTCAGCGAGCTATATTTTACCTTCTAGCATTGCATGTAAGCAGCTGAAAGCAGCAGGCGGTGGTTCTGTTCCTGACCTGTTTTCCTAACTTGTGATTTGAAGGCACTGCGAGTGATGGGCCGGATAATGCGCGAGTGCTGGTACGCTAACGGAGCCGCCCGGCTGACTGCGCTGCGCATCAAGAAGACAATTTCACAGCTCTGCATGCAGGAAGACTCCAAAGCCTAACAGAACTCCTTGGAGGAAGACGGGAATGCATTCTTCTGTTCATCTTTTAACATGTGATATTATTTTTATTTTTGGTCTACCTCACATAATGTGGTTCAGTATTTAAGTGCCCGGACCAGAGCACTGACATCTAGCTTCATAGTTGGCCGCTGGGAGGGGCAGCTTTTGACCTGTAGTTCTTGTTTGGTACAGCAAGTCCCTGGGTTGTGCGGGTTTTCTAAAGTATTTTAGATACTAGGTTGAATGGCAGAAAGGAGCTTTAAACACTACCACAGTGTAAAAATACCTTTTGCTATTGTGCTTTTTACTTTAGTCAAAACCCAAAACTTACTGCAAACAGCCAGGATTGGTTAAAGTGTTTGCAAGAAAAACCACACATTTTAACCTCAAAAGAAGTAAAAGACCAAATTTAATCAAGCTTTTTACATATTTCTACACAGGAATCTGAAAAGGGGCTATAAATAAAATGAATTTTTAAATACTGTATTTATCAATACCTAAGTGAATAAGATGAAAATTCTACTAAGCGTGTATATTGTGAACAAAAGTATCTAGTTGTTTTTTTAAATAACTTTTGTTTTTATTGTCTTGATTTCATGTATATTGTTATAGTTAGGATTTGGAATTATTTTGTTCTTTTCATCTGTGTTGAACTTATTGATCAAGAGCCAATTTTTCTTTTTAACAATTAGTAGGAAAAACAATGCAGGCAATAATATTCTGATAGGTACATAGGGATGGAACGGGAGAAATTTTACTGTAGCTGAGAAAATGTATATTTTTAAACAGCATCTTGCCAATCCATCATTGGTAATGTTTTGTAGTGCCTTTTGATGTTTTAGGGAGAAGCTTTGACAAAGCTGGTTCTTGGAAAGCAGCGGAAGCCTGCCAGAACAGCTCGCTTCCCGTGGTGGCGACGTGTGCAATGAGCCCACCTCGCCACCGCTGCCGCCACCACCATGAAGCTCAGGTGTGTGGCCGTGCACTGGGCTGTCCTGTGGCTTTGGGGTTAGTGTGCTCCCTGCCACCCGAGTTTTGACGCCTGACACTGCTGTTCCCGATGTACCTGTGCTCTGGACTGGGTCGCTGTTTTCTGTCACAGCCTAGGTACCTGATCAAATGTAACTGTGAAGTGCTGATGTGCTTGCAAAAAGTCAGTGCAGCCTATTCAGAAGTTTCCTATGAATTTCTGTAGTAGCACCAGGTTGGTGGAAAGTGTCAACGTCCCTAATCTTATTTCCGTAGTACTGCAAACTATGGAAAGCAGGGTGTCTTCAAAATGCCCCCATGTTCTGGCATTGTGTGACTTCTGTCACAGTCTGTGCTCCACACATTTGAATATATCATTCTAGTGTTTTTAGTTGCCAGCATTATATATTTCACAAATATTTTGTTTCTTCAGGTGTTTAAATCTAGGCAGTCCATGGAAGTTAAACCCAGAGATGTCTCCAGAGTAAAGCTTTGCAAAAATTTGGTGTAGCACCCACTTACTTCTGTGGAAGCAAGCTATTAGCTGATTATGGTATTTAAGATCAAGCTTTGATATGAAACTTCTTGAACAGGGGCTTCTACATGGAAGAATGGTTTGAACTTTCAGTGACTGGGATGTTGGTAGTATCAATGTCACATGGTTCATCCTGATGCACAAACTCTAGGACATTACGGACTCTTAGGGGTGTTAGTTGCCACATACACAGGCTCCAGTGAAACTTCCCTTCTTGTATAACTTTTATTCGTTTCTGCTTGTGTTAATGCAAGTCTTTGCCTCATGTTATGGTCTGTTAGCTGAATGGTGAAGAACATTTCTACCAGATTACTAGTGGATTTTTTTTTTCTGGTATGCTTTCTGAGATGTAATCAAAGTTGTCTGATTTAATTCTTAAATGCTTCAACTGCATGAGGTATACCAGGAGAGTTCAACAGGTGTATGAAGTGGGAAAAGGCAACTTCTCATGCATTGAAATCAGCTTGCGTTGAAATTGTAGAATAGGGTGTCTGAGATCAATAGCAGTGGAATAGAGTAACTGCAAGCACTGTGCTGATAGAGGGCTGCTTCTTCAAAGCATTTAGGCTGTGTGGGTGAGATGAGCTGTTCAGAACTGCTTTAGCACTCGGGAAGGTGCCTGGGTGAAATGGGCAGTCTTTCCAAAACTCTCAACACTGACAGATCCAGTTAGTTTCTGTGCTGAGGAAAGAGAATCAAATATTTGTGACTAGCCAGAGCAGAGTGTTAAAATGTGCTCTACAAACAGTGTGCCCGAACAAATAACAGCGAGGAGAACATACCAAAGAGTAAAGCTACTGAAGTTTCAGAGCCGTCTTACTGGGCCGCCTGATGTTACACAGTGGATGTGAACCATTACCCTAGGAACTTTAAAAATTGCTGCAGTGTATTTTTGAACGTCTGCTACTCACAGGATGGTGTGGCAGCACAAATTGCAGCACTGCTTACAAATATGGAAGTTGTAAATCACAAAACACAAATAATACTTTGAAATAGCACTGAAATAACTGAAGGAAGCAATCAGAAAACAAAGAGTTCCATAAGTAAAATGCAGCAGAAGCCCTTTTGTGTGAGGCACACCCAGCCCTGCATTGGCGGCATGGTTTGCAGCTGAGCGGGCTCGTGGTGGCAGGGAGCAGCAGTGTGAAGGAACCGCCTCAGCAGTGGTGCTGGTGGTGTCTGCAGCAGCTGTGAGATGTGAGGACTCATGAGTGGAAAGTTGATCAGTTGCTGTACAAAATGTACGCGATGCAAGATGACCAAGGGAGACATTAAGGTTACCTAATACGACATTTAAAATACATATTTTTTTTCCCTAAAGGGGAGACAGTCATTGAACTTCATGGGGAGAATGATCAGAATACTCTGTAAGGACTTTTCCTTCGTTTCAAATTCACTAATATGCACTTTTTTTTCCTATATTATCCTTTGAAAGTATCTGCGCCCTTGAAGCATATCAGATCACTGTTGCTGGGGCTTTTTTTTCCCTGTAAGTTTGATTGCACACTGTTAGAATTTGGTGTCTATGCAGAAGCTCCTCTCGGTCAGGACTTGTGCTAGACTGAAGTCTCACTGTGAAATTAAATATTGGGCTTTTGGGTGTTAGGCCGCTGGGCAGCCCCTGTGGTGACCTGCTGTGGGGCACAGCAAGGAGATGCTTCTGCTTCTCCTCTGTCATTTGCCCTGGATCACAGCCTGCTCCTCCTACTTGTTTATTCCAGCCTGGCTTCGGACACCAGAATAACCAACATACACAACTTTTTATTAGTTGAAAATGCCACTTTCTTCTTGTTTTTTTTTTTCAGGCATATGTGGTAGTGGATCTTAATGTTATGGTTTTTCAGTTTTCCCCATAGAGTCCCTGCAAATCACTGTCCTGGAATTTGAAAAAGCCTGCTTTGGAGCCAGGGGAAGCTCTGCTGGGCTGGATAGTAGGCTGGCTTGGTCGCAGCTCCTGCCTGTCAACACTTCAAATCTTGTCCTGTGTGTATCTTGTGGCACGAGAAGCTATGGTCTGTTTTTCCTCGCTATTCATTTTGCTCAGTATTTTTGCATTGACTTTATTTTTGTTTTGAGAGGTAAATACATATTTTAGTAAACCAGAGTTAAACATAACAGAGCCAAGTGGCTAATACTGTTGTATTGGGCTTTAAAATATTTGTAAACCATGTGCTTCTTTTAAAAACAAAACAAAACCTTTGTTTTAGTTGCCTTTTCTCTCCATGTAGATGTGTCATGTTCAAATTTAAAAATAGAACTTATACTGAGCTATTTCTTTGCTCATTTAGGGAGCCTTTGGTTTCTAAAGAGAGAGATTAGTATGTTTCCTGCTAATCTCCAGTTAAAGCACAAATTCTGAAGCTCACAGAATTTTTCAAGCTTGATGATGCTCAAGGCTAGTGACCATAGTTAGCCCTTCCTAAATGATTCTTCTAGTTTGGGGGAATTACTATTTTTTAATTTACTTGTAATAACAACCCTAAAACTTAATGCATGGAACAAGAATTGAAAGGGAAAGTTAATTAATGAACTTTTTCTCTTGAGCCTATTTTTTTGTCTCCTTAAGTCTTCCCCCCACAAAAATACCCTATGAGAAATTCAAACTGTAATCTCTTTTGCACTTTGCCGTTTTAATAGTCATTTGCACTTAACCAAGATCATTCCCTCATGTAATCCTGTATTTTAGCCATTGTTAGGTCCCTTTTTTTTTTTTTGGGAGGGGGGTATACATTCAGGAATTATAAATAAATGTGTGTAGAAGCATATCTAGTCCCCACAACAGGTCTTGACGTTGGACAGCACAATATCTTCTTGCTGTCTGTTCCTGCCAGGATCTCCTGTGACCAGAGATGGGCTCTGGCTGCCCTCAGTCCCCAGCACATCCTAATGGGAAGGAAGGTTTTTGTTTGTTTGTTTCACATGTTGCTTGTTGAGGACAGTATCCTACAAGTGCCTCACCACGACATGGAAGTGCTGGGCACCAGTGCCCCTTGCTGTGGCAAGTATTGCTTGGGTAGGGCATGCAGTGGTCCCGCCAACACAGTAGAGTCCCTTGAGAGGGCCAGTGGGAAGACACACGGGTCTCAGCCAACAGGAACAAATGCGTGAGTGTGTTTTTGTGCAGTGGTGTGTGTTTATGAATGCCGAGACTCAAAGCTCCCGCTCTGGTTTAGCATCAGTTCCGCAGAGCTCTCCTTGGCCAGCCAGCAGAGCGCCGTGCCCCCTCCTGCAGCAGCTCCTGGGGACGGGGCATCGCGAGCGGCGTGTCTGTCACCTGAAGCCATACGGTGGGCACTGCCGTGTCGCGTTGTGGTACTCCGCTAGGTGTAAGCCTTTAGGGAAAGATGTCCGTGTTCTGTTCGAACAGGCAGCACAATTTATGAATGTACGGGGAGGGGGGAGGGGGTAGAGCAGGGTGAAAGCATTAAGAGGTACAATATATTTCTACAGAATATAAGAAATGTGCAATAAATTGTAACCAAAGGCTATGAATGTATTTTTGGCATAAATAGACTGAATGTATTTTGAATGTAGCTATCACATTTGTGTCTAAATCTGCTGTGGTTTTCAGTCCCCAAAGAGAAATGTGTAGTGTTCTGTCAATCTAAAAAAACCCCAGCTTGTCGTCTTTTTTTTTTTTTTTTTTTTTTTTTAAAGAAGCATTAATATTTTATCTGGAAGTACTGTAATATTTTAGAACTTAGTATAGCAGTAAAGGGATGAAATTCAGTCTACGTATTGTGAAATACCTAATCTAGTGTATATTGCAGCAAGTTATTTTTAAAACTATTGCTCAAGTTACTGCTTGAAATCTCAGCTGCCCCTGGATGTAAATAATTTGTTGAAATGTTGTATTTTGTATGCATATTTTACATACCAATATACTTTCAGAAAAATGTGGAGATTTTAATAAATTAAGCACACTCTGTCGCTGTGTTCCCATGAAGTGTAAACCTCTGTTTGTTATGTCCATTTTGTGAGGGCTCTGAGGGCTGTTTCAGGTCGCCTGTAGACAGCGAAGGTGTCAGGTGTGACCACAGCTCTCCCGCAGCGCTGTGTGCTCCCAGCCCCAGCTCTGCTGTGCTGTGGTTGTGCTGGCAGGGGGTGCCACTGCCAAGCATGGTGCTCCTGTCCATCTGCAGGAGAAGCTGGGGAAGGCCAAATCCCTGCTGCTCACTCTTCCCTGCAGCACCCGAAGGGGGAATTGTCTCTGTCTGGAGGGGCACCTGCGTGCCGTGGGGGCTCCCGCGTGGGGAGGTGCTGATGGCAGCAGTGGTGCAGGAGTGCTGCCTCCAGTCCTGCACGTGGCGATGCGTGGTGCCTTGCATCTGCCTCTTCTCCATACAGGAGGTGGGCAGCAAGGGAGCCCGGTGGTGAACCGGTGTGTTTCGTGTGTCCTGGCGCAGCTGGCTTGAGACGAGGGGCTGCCCTCTGGCTCCTGTGGGGAGGAGACCCTACGCATGGCCTTGGGCCTTGTGCGTGCTCCTGTGCCATGGCACGCTTTGCTCGTCAGCACGGGCTGGGCTTCACTAAATACAGAGGTCACTGGGCCCCATCCTCCCAGCTGTTTAAGTTCTTCATTTCTGAATTCTTTGCTTGAAAATCCCTGTTACATAGCCATAAGCTGGGGTTTTAAGTCCAGCCATGTTCAAATTGAAGGCACATCAGCATAAAATCCACCATCCTACTACGAAGCAGTAACGAGATGTTCATGACTCTTGAAGGGTATTGTGGCCTTCTGTTGCTCCCTTACAGTGAGCACTGTATTGTAGGCAATTGCTTGTCAGTTCTGTCCTGCAAGAGACAGGAACTCAGGTAAGTGTGCTCTTACTTTTTGGCAACTGCCTGTTTCAAGGATGATTTTTCAAGTGTCACGCTGTCTGTGATGTACATGTTCTGCTTGCTTTGAGGCACACAGCAGTAGCCACCTTCAGCTGCACGGGTGTGGGCCAAGTGGGCGCAAGCCCGCTGCCTGCCAGCAGAGCCTGCGGACAGCCGTGGAACAGGCACAGCTCATCCCCTGGGACAGGCACAGCTCATCCTGCAAGACAGGCAGGCACCCGGCCTCTGCAGCCGTGCTCGGTGTCTGGCTTGGTGCTTGCCATGTCAGCAACATGCCGGAGGCTTTCATGTAGGGAGGTGTTCAGGACAAAGTAGTTGGTGTGCTTGGGGTCTAAGAGAAACTGCTAATGCTCCATGTCCTTGTCTTCAGGTAAATCAACTGCACTGGAGTCATCGGTGTACACCTGGAGTGAAAGGTGAAGAGCCAGCTCTGCAGATGCATGGAGCTGCAGGTCCACATCCTGCAGGGGGTACCTCCCTTTGCTTTCCTCCTGCCTGGGTAATGAGGGTGCAGGCAGAGCCCTGAGAGCCCTGCCGGCAGCTCAGAGCTGGAAGGATGGGCTCTTCAGCAGTGGGTGGCTTCACACGAGCTCTGATCCCAGGGACGCTTCGCTCTGCATTCTGAGTGTTTCAGAGTTAGATTAACGGTGAGCTCAGCTGCAAAGCCATGGTGAGATGCTAACCACTGCTCTCTGTCCACGAGGCTGTGACTCCCTTCCAAGATCTGTAGCTGGTGTTTCCTGTCCCTGTTGCTCACACACTGAGCTGAACGCATAGCAGCGACTGACTAGAAACCAGCATGATGCAGCATGCAGTGCGTGGAGGCTTTGTTGTGTAATGGAAGTTGTTAATGAACAGCTCACCAGGGGAGGTTTAGGTTGGATATTAGGAAAAACTTCTTTACCGAAAGGGTTGTTATGCACTAGAATGGGCTGCCCAGGGAAGTGGTGGAGTCACCATCCCTGGAGGTCTTTAAAAGACGTTTAGATGTAGAGCTTGGTGATATGGTTTAGTGGAGGACTTGTTAGTGTTAGGCCATAGATTGGACTCGGTGGTCTTGGAGGTCTCTTCCAACCTAGGCAATTCTGTGATTCTGTAATGAAGTGTAAAGATTTCAGTCTTTAAGAGGCTGAAGGGTGGTGTGTACATGTGCACTAATTAGTGTAAGGAGCTTGCATGCCCGTGCACAGTAGGAGTGGTTCATGTCTGCACAGCATCTGCTAAACCCCTGCCAGTCACTGGGGGCTGGATGCAGGGGTTATCCCACAGCTATGGGAATGGCACAGTCCCACCACCAAATGACTCGGGCTTTTAGAAAGCTGTAGTATCTCATTTGATTCTTTCCTGGGCCAGCTGGACTGTGGGAACATAGGGAGCATGTCAGTTCCAGTCAGAGCCAGGGAAATGTGTAGGCAGACCATAAAGAAAATTAAAAGGAGGAAAAATAGCAAGAAAACAAAGGCAAAGCCAACTAACCAACCAAAACCCAAACCCAACAGTCCCCAGTGAAGAGGCCGTAGTGTTATCATGTTGTGAAGGCAGGACCTCTTCCTCTCTCATTGTGTTTGATTACATCCTAGTTGTTTGGTAGCAATTGCATTTCACTGTTTGTCGTTGCCCATGTGCCCTGTGTCTGCAACAGTCTGGGTGGGAGGGCACTGCTTTATCCATCTGCCTCACAGTTTGAGGGCTGTCTTTGAAAGCAAGGGATCCTCTTTTAAGACTCTGTCACTTCATATTAAAGAATACACTTCAGATATTGCTGTCATTAATACCATAATGGGAATAGGATCTGGCATCTGACTAGAACTTGGGTTCAAAGTACATGTAAAAGAAACTGAAAAATTCTTGGATTTTTTCCTTGCAATATTTTTATAAAGTTTTTTTCTTTGCAAATAACATTCTAAAGCTTTGCAGTGGACTTTAAGTATGCTTGTAATAATTCAATAAGCTCATGTTCCAGACCTGATATGATATGTCTTACAAATAATTATTCTTCTGCTTCATGCTAATCCTCTCAATATAGCATGTAAGGGGAAGGAAGGGATGATTTTTGCACTCTGAGTGTGATGGTTATGGGCTTACTGAAAGATTTGCTTCAAGTTGCTCAGTGCTGGGCACGCTTGCTATAACTCTAGAAGCCTCCAGAGGTAGAGGAGTACTCTTGAGAAACACTCATTTCATAGGACTACAGAATCAGTAGCAGCTATGTTTGCCACTTAGAACTTTATTTCCAGTGAAACAGGAAAAAATCATAGGGTAAAAATGTGTGTTAGCTTTTCAGGCCCTCTCGTGGATGAACAGTCCACTGCAGCAGCAGTAGAGCAAGTAGGAAAAGGCCCCTAAAGCTACTCTGTGCTGATTTTGTTGTGGTGATAACATGAAGGACAACAGCAGGTTTGGGGTTTAACGAGATTTACATAATTTGCCTAGGCCTTCTCCTCTAGTGTGGAATGCAATAGCTAAGAAGCTGCATTTTCAGAACTGTGCCGTAGGAGGCATTTGGTTCGATGTTGTGGTACTAGCAAAATTATGGGAAAGTTTAGTATGAAATTGATACTCAGCTGAGCCAGTGTGTGTGTGGGGGGGGGAATGTAACACTGAAAAAACAAAACCAGGTGGAGTACTACAATACAGTGGTACTGAAGTTGTCTGGGGATCTTCCATTGCTATAAGCAGTTATTTACACAGTCATGCAGCTGAATGCCCTGAGAGCTGGTAGTACTGTGAAGCTGTGTTCCCCAGATGTACTCCAGTGACAGGTAGCAGAAATCTCCTTTAACATGACAGCCTTGCTGAGAAACATTTCAACCTGCGTTTTATCCCTGATATCACAAACGTGTTCTCAGATACCCAAACACCTGTGCAGTGGTGCACAGCTACTGTGAAATCCTGGTATGTCCAGAGGTTTGTTACAACAGTCAGATGACAGCAGACAATCAAATTTGTCTTTCAGGATTTCTCTAGCATGGATTGGCAAAGCTCTTGTTGCTGTCACAGGGAGGACACCAAGGTCAGTGTGAAGCTGCACACAAACTGTGTATCTTTGATGTGTCATCTTGTATGAATATAAAAATCTTCTCTATGTTTTTATACACATACACCTTAACATATATCAGATGGAACCATACAAATCTCTATACTGGAGTGAAAAAAAATGAGGATTTTGTTTTCCTCCAATTAGTTATTTTCATTAAATATACTGCCAAGTACTTGGTATGTATTTGTTTAAAAATGAACTGTACAGATACTTGGCATACTTCTGGACTGCTGCTCATGCAGCTGAAGCTGCATTCAATTAGATCTGTTGTAAAACACCTTTTTGATTTAATTGGTAAATTAAATGAGAGGTGCTGGAAATTTACTGGCTATAAAAAAACCACCAAGACTATTGCTCAGGATCACTGTCTTCCATTTTTGCAAGTATTTGAAAATCTAATGTAAAATCATGGAAACCAAGGTTAGGAATCTAAGCTTTCAGGACAATTTCAACTCTCAGCAAGAGGGCTGTTCAGGATTTCTTGAAAATCAGCCTTATGTTTCATGAGTATTGTTAGTATTCTGCAAATTTCATGTATTGGTTAGGAAAGCAGAGAAGAGCATATGGGATGGATTAGCAGCTAAGGGGAGAGGCACATGGGGTGATACTCATTTGGGTATGCAAACCGTTATTCTGAGTCATTGCATGGCTTGCCAGCTACTTGTCAAGTGGAAAATCTGGTGGCACAAAGGATTAGCCACTTATACAAAATGGCTTTTGTGGTTTTTCTATATTTTAAAGTGTGAAAATACAAAACTTAGAAAACTGTCTTAGAAAAATATAGAGAGAGACTATTTGTTTGAAACCATGCAGCAGATTTCGTGCAGGCCCCAGGATGGTCTATGCGTGCTCATCAAACCAGCCTGTGTTACTGCAGGTGAAGTCACTCAGCTCAGACCTCACAGGGACACCCCTCTGTTGCCTTTTCAGCAAGAACCAGTTCTGGTTTTGTGATATGCATGCAAACCCTTCCAAGTCAGTGGTGGTCCACCTAATGACCGAAATGCAAAATCAGTCCCTTAACGTCATGTGAGCTTGTTAGTTTATTTTCACAACAGCTAGAA